AGGCTTCAGATGTTACAGGGCTCGCACCTCCACACTGGCACAGGAGGCTAAAAGGGCCTGGATTCAGAGATGCCCTGTTTTGTAGGTGGGAGCCTGATGCAGCGAGCATTGAAGGAGAAACCCCATCCAAGTCTGTGGTCAAAGAGGTGACCCCTCCTAGACTCAGCTATCCTATTTTTCAACAAAAGCACACCAAAATGTCACTGCAGTGAAGCTCTTCTGGTCCTCTTCATCTCCTGGGAGCAGAAACGCTGAGAAGCAGGAGCACAAGGATGTTCAGAGAGCAAGCTCAGGCGAGCCCGCAGCTTAGCTGCACCCGAAGCCCATTCCTTTTCACAGCACAAGGGAAGGGGCAGCGCTCTACCCTTTTCAGGTCACAGGACAGAAAAATAGGATCATTTCATAAACACTGCTCAGAGGTGCCCCAGAACAAACACGGAGTTAGAAACACCCAGGGTTACACTGAGGGCACATTCAATGTCTGCCATTTCCAACCCAGATCTTGATCCAAAACACCTGGCAAAGTACATTTCTAGCCCAAGCCAACACATTGCAAAACAGCTTCATCCATGCTCTCATTTGCCAGCAAACAGCCCTGCACAGCTTTGTTCAGAATCTGGGCTGCATGAAGATTCACAGCAGAGCAGTTTAATCAGAGCCACGAGCTGTGGCCATGGGGCTTGCCTACCTCCACCCCACAGCCATGATCAGATCCCTGCTGCTGCTGCCCACCCGCCCCAGCAGCCAGAAACTGAAACTGCAACCCCGCTGCTTCCTTCCATCAAAGGGCTGGGTGCTGGTTCACGCTCTGGTTACACCTGCCCACACACAGCAACACACCATGAGCACAGCTCAGGTCAGGTCACTGGGACCACAGTTCCCATTAAGCTGCTGATGCAGTTGTGAGCCCTTGGAGCATTGGAGAAAATCAGATTTCAAGGAAAAATAATTCTTCAGTTGTCTAGCGAGTTTTGACCCAGTTGATCCTTAACATCGAGTGGCTTGGTTTTATCCTTGACTTTCTCTCAAGGTCTCACCAGGAATTTCAAAATGAATGTCCTGAAGTGTATACTTGAGCCAAAGGCAGTCTCTGAAAGCTGGAGAACACCTAGGAGGCTGTTTCTCCCATGGCTTTGCAAACGAAGTCTGTCTTTGAGGTGATTCTGTATGCAAAATGGTAAGCAGAGGTAAATTGCAGGGTGTGGACTGCCTGGCTCTGCTGAAAGGTCATCTTCCAAAGGGCACTGCAGAGGGTAGGCGAGATTCTCCTCTCACCTGCACAAGCATCCCAGGGGGTACACACAAAGCGTTGGGGTTTGTCTGGAAGAGGAGGTACCCACCTTCACCCTTGTGCTGCTGGCAGAGCCACACAGGTGCCTCGCCAGAGTTAAGGTGATGGTAGAGATGAGAGGGAGCAGGCAGGCCAGCTTCAGGGAAGGGATTATCTGAATCACTAGAGGACAAGTGCTGACCTCTGAGTAAACAAACATCCTCAGCACAGAGGCAGTGTAGTCTTTTCCCCACAGCATGGGCCAGACGCAGGATTAAACATGAAATTGCTTTCTCCAAATCCCCACTAGATAGAGCTCACAGGTCTCAGGTTTTGGCCCTTTTCAGAGTCCCTGACAGGGATTCCTCCGATCTGGGCCAAAAGAACATATGCTATGTTGAACTGTACCCCAGCATCACCACTGGTCACTGAAAGACCAGAAGGGGAACAGATACATCCCAGGCTGCCTTTCACACACACACAATCCTCGTCTCAAATAAAACTTGGTATCACTGAGAAGGGACCCTTCCTCTTCCTGCATTTGGGATTTTATGGCTCAGAGTTACATAACTTGCTTGCACAATATAAACAGTCTCCTGCAGCAGAACACCCCAACTGCTCTCTGCTGTACAGAGCGAGGGCTCAGGGGACACACTTGCACAGATTCACTTATCTGCCACAGCCAAACTCTGCTCCACTCACCACGCTACACATCAGCCAGGATGCCAGTTTTCCCCTCTAAGGTGATTAGATGGACGATTTGCACATGTTTTTCCACTGTAAGAGGAGAGAGAAGTAACTTCTAATGCAGAAAAGATAAGGACTTCCTCAAGTCCATGCAGCTGCACATTAATGCTCTAGGTGATTTCCTAACCCAGTTGGAGGCTGCACAACCGCTCCGTGACACAGCGTATGTCCGCACAGTGGCATTCAGGCCAGGCGTTAACAAACCACATGCTTGAATGGGATGTGGATTACTGGCATGGGCTGGGGGTGGCTGTTCTTCGTATGACTACATAAGCCACGATAAGAGCCCATCTTTCCATGAGAGTTCACATGGTATCTGCTTTTATCAGTACCTGCTGTGCAGAGCGGTGTCTTAAAGACCATATCAGCAAGCTGGCTCTGACAGATGTGACCCGAAGACATCTCTGAAAAGTCCCACCACACTTCAGTGCCTGGCAGCCACGTGTCCGCAGTAAGCCTTTGTAGTGTGTATAAATATCTGTAAGTACTTCAACCCTGCGAAATAAAGAAGAGTCAGCAGTATGTCAGGAGAAAAACCATTTCAGTCTAAACCAGACTTAAGTACTTACTGTACCACTGACACACTGGCAGACGCACCCTATGTCTAGATGGAGGAAGGTTTATTTGTTCCAGCATATGAATCTTCTTGGGTCTAAAAACCATCCCATTGGCTTAATTTTAGGCTAATCGCCATATTCTGTTTATCTTCTAGAATGACAGGAGACAGAATAGGGAATGCAATCCGCCAGACTACACAAACATGCCTGGGAGGTTACTGAAAGCCCAGGAGTCACATATTCTTTTTTCTCTAAAATAGCTATTATTCTTCAGATCAGATTAGCAGTAAGCGAATCCTGCACACAGCACAAAAAGCAGCTTAGCATTCGAGCAGTTCTGCATCCACACTCAGCACATCCTACTTCAGGGACAGACTGAAGCAAGGTGGAAGACGACTCAGACAATAGGATAGTTTTTCCCAGAGAAAACAAGTTAGCTTAAAACGTTCGGTATGATGTAACACAGTTAACAATGGTATTTCCCAGCCAGCTACACTATTTCAGCAGTGGGAAGTACAGCTTTTTGGCCAGAGTCCTGATGTGAACTTTATCTGTCAACATACCACGTTGACAGAAAGTCTAAGTAGATTCCTCTTCCTCCCCTGGAAATCCAAAGTGTTCCAACCAGAGATTGTGGCTTTGGCTCACCATCGGTTCTTCACATCTGTGAGGTTGTCATGTTGAATGCTTTGTTTTAAAGCAAAACTCCTTATTTCCTAAGTTTATGTTGTGCTGAGAGATTTTACTAAGAAAATTAGAGGTCAAAAATGAAATATTCTGAACAGCCAGCCCACAACCACAACATTCATGGCAACCAAAGGAGTGCCGCAAGAGATTCGAGAGCAACTAAGCCACTCTCTGCTAGGTCATTAAAGCTTCCACGAAAAAAATCTCAATTCCTACAGCTACCTGCTATAACAGTTCACTCACAGCGTATTTACAAGAGTAGATGCTTCTCTCATTTCAGGACCATTAACAACTGGAGCTCAACAAGCCTCTGCCTGGGCAATCCAAGACATCTCTCCAACCAGTCATGTATCTCTAACAAAAAATTACATTTCAGCAAATACATGTACTTACAATCTGCATCCAAATAACTAAACAAAGCAATAACCATTAAATTAATAAATTCTTCACATGTAAAATTCAGGGGCACAAGAACATGCATTGCTAAGTCACATTGCTTTATTACCAGTACAATAAGTAGATGACATCTGCTACACCTAACGTGTAAAACCCTCTGTTCCAGGAGGATAGCAGGTGCATTTGACAATTGTTTGAAGCATTACCTCAGGCAGGATTAGAAGCATTCTAGCTCATTCAGTCTTTGCACAACATAGGGCAATGGAGAAGTACAAAGCAAACCCATGTTTGCCATACAACAATCATGACTGCAACTGAATGTTTTGGTGTAACTGAAGTTTCTTTCACTTTCTCAAACCAGTTTCATACATTGGTATACTAACAATTGCCCAAGCTAGTTTTTAAGCAATAACTTCAGTTGTAAAACCATTACCATTTTTGGCTTTAAGCTCATCTGCAGTCATCCATATTCCCATGAAGTCATGCCCATACCAGTGAAAGATCTTCTGAAGTCAATCTACCCTCTGCACAGTAGCATATTGACACAGTCTGGTACTAACAACAAGTTTCTACATTTCTGAAACATTTTCCTATTTCTCCAAAACTCTGCCTTTTTTAGCAATTAATTGTTACTTCTGAATTATAATTTGGAAATTGGATTTCCTTTCTACCGTGGGCAACACTGTCCTCCATGTGTTGGCTTGTGGCCATTACACACACGCTAACAAAGCAAAAAGGCAAAGCGGAATCTGAATCCTTGTGTTCAAAGGACAGGGTTATTCCCAGCCTGTCTGAACAGCGTAACAAAACCCTGCTCCAGCCTACAAAGGTACACTACATTGCTTGCAAGCCATCGTACTGACTTCAACAGGCATCGAACTCTGCCAGATCAGGTGTTCCTGTGGCAAAAATGCAGTGTTTCATCAGCAGAGATGCCTACTTCTAGAATCAAGAATTGTCAAGACTGTTGAAAGTCTTCATATTTTTATAACTGCTTTCATTGAAAGTAGATAGTACCCCACAAGAGAAAGGTTCCATCAGGGAAAGGCTTCTCCTAAGTGTAATAATACTGAGATCACAGTTGCCATTGGCCCAACATGTGCAGCCTGCCTGCTTGCAGGATACATTAGTTTCAATACACAAATAAAACTTCTTCAGCACAAGGTGCAACCGTTCTGTTCATGTGCTGAGGCCTTAAATCAAACAGTCCAAAATCACGATGCATTTTCTACAGAAGAGCAACAAAGCAACAGGCCCTCAAATGAAAAAGTAAAGGCCTCCTGCTCCCTCAAACCAAGCACCAATATACCTATTGCAGACACAGAATAGAGAATCATTTTATGGAAAGAACATTTATTTCTGTTTCAAAACTTGTGATCCATAGAAATACAATAAAATCAACATGTACACAAAACTTTAAAAAAACAACTTTGGTTCGAAGAAATATTTAACATCTAAATCTTCTGAGGTACAAAAGACACAAGACCAGGCACCTAAACACACTGAATCGCCCACAGCACTGTTTGCACCACCAGTACAGAGAAAGTCGGGAGGGCAGAAGGCAGGTCAAAGGAGCATGGCAGGGGCGGGGGGAACATGGAAATAACAGCAACCAAAACACATGTATGTGTACAAAGCATTTACTTTCTTTCACAGGTGTTACAGATTTTGTTGTCCTTTTTTGGGTAAAGTGCCAGGACTCTTGGAGATAAAAAAAAGATGGATCATTTCTTAGAAATGAACTGGAAGAACAAACAGTAGAAAAGGAGACAGGAAAACAGAGGCCTGCAGCAGGCTGGGTTTCAGTCAACCTCTGTTCTCCCACAAGGTCTTAAGAATTCGTTTCCTCTTTCGTGAAACCATTTGTTTGAAACTGTGAAACAAGGATGTGAAATTAGTTACCGTGTGCCCAGTGCATGCACCACCACAACCCAGATGGTTACGTCAACTAAAATCTCATCTCTCAGCCTGAGGATCCCTGCTTATACTTCTCCACCCATCCAATGGGAAAGATATCAGAAGATGCAAAGGGCTGGGGAAGAAAGGATCTTTCCAATTGCACAATTCTGGGGCCAACAGTAACAGAGCAGGGTATTCTGCATCTGGTATCACTTATAGATCAGTATGCTCTGGCACTCCAGGGGAATACCTGGGAGGCTCAGGGAGGTGGGTATGGGAACAGATGACATGAAGCTTGAGAAGCTTCACGGTTAGCAGAAGTTTTTAGTCTCCAGACATTCATGTGTACCTTACAAGGAGCTCGCCTCCTTTTACAGTTAAAACTATGTACAGATCTTTGCAGGAACAGACTTAATTCTAGTCAAATGATAATCCAAGTCAGCCTGATGCTGACACACTACACAAGCCCAGTGACATTCTTACACACTTTGTGCTGTCATTGACACAAAACAAGCTCACTAGAAAAGCTACAGCTGAACAATGTAGCTGCTTAATACTATATGATTTTGATGGTGGGAATTTTCATTATGGCCAAATAACTCCAGTAGTTAAAATGGCAACACCCAGGTTATTAAATGGTGTTATAAGGGTTCAGTATATCACCAGCTTTGCATACACACAAACCTTCCTTCAGGTTTCGTTCCTAAACAAGTATTACTTACCCCATTTACACCCTACTAGTACTGGGCAAGCTGCATGCCTTGTTCTATAGTCACCCTCGCCACTTCTGAAGAGATTATACCAGAACACTGCTGTTCCCTGAAAAGAGAAGTCAGATCTGGATTAGTCAGAACCTAGTAAACACAGCTATTCAGGTTACAGTAAGGGTGGGAAATGCCTATGAACTCAGCTACAGACGTCTGAAACACTTCAACACAGGCCAGCACTGACAGCACATAAAGAAGCCCCTAGCCCCGCTCTAGCATGCAGCCATGTTCAGAGTAGAGACAAGTTCTACCTGAACACAAGTTCTTTGTTAGTAACAGTTCTACACAGAAACTGTTCACATTACACACTGTAAAACAAAGAAAGCAGCCATGCTGTCTACAAGCTCAGCTACAAGGCAGCCTGTGGATCAAGCTGCCATGAACAGAACCTTGCCACATGAGCTGGCTTTTAAATGGACGCAGGATTGTACTGAGGAAGGGACGGTAACAGCAGAGGAGAAATCAGGCAAAACACACAAACAGACTTTACCTTCTTGGGCCATATTGCTGCCCCAAAATCTGGGAAAACTGTAGCTCCTCCGGCTTCTACATCACTCATCTGAGAAAACAAAGTCCACAAAACTCTGTCCATTTAAAACACTTTTTGTACATGCACCCACAAACTGAAGTACCCCAAGCCCTAACAGAGAGATTTCTACTTGCACCTCTACAAGAGGCACTGATGAAGAAAGGATGCACTTCAACCAGCATGAACCGCAGAAGTAACAGTACCTGCTGTTGAAGGCTTTTATTTCAGCTGAAGGCTTTTGTTCAGTACTTTGTCTAGATTACATATAACCTATTACACAAACAATTAGCCAAAAGGAGTTGTGTACCTGCAGCGTTAATAAGCTAATACTCTAGAACAAGGGAGAGGACTTCAGAGTAAGTCATTTTCAAGAATATCATTCCAGTTTATGATCCAATTAGGAAAACAAGCAACTGTGTTAAACCACATGTTTCCTCATAAATTGAAACCATGTCTTTGGAAACGATTTTTGTAATTTAGTTTATGCATCTTCAACCACTTCAAAAGTTATATAAACTATTAGAAAACCCCACTTTATGCACTGTTTCTATGCTGTTCACCAGTGACATTATGCCATTTCAAGTGCTTTAATTTCAAGCTTTAATACATACAGTTATATGGCTCTAAAGAAAAGCATTATCTTCATACTTTGCCCTTCTAAACTGGAATGAATTTAACCCTAGTGGATTCACTATGAAGTCTAGACTTGATCCAAAACCCACCAAAGTTCCTGGAAACACTCTCATTGAAAACAGAAAGTCTTTCCACTGATTTAATAAGTTTTTGATCAGATTCTAATGAAAAGAAACAAATGAGTCAGATCCAGCTCCCATCAAATTTAAACAGCAAAATTACTATTAATACACTCCCCAAGTCCCCACGTTCTCTATTGTAACTTGGATTTCTGTTTAAAGCAGATGTTATTACCACTCTGGTGTCCTCCTGCTTGGTACCTACAATAAAAGGGCACAAGATGCCATAGGTGCACAGGTTTTTGCCCCTTCCAACTAGAAAGCATGTGCATGCAACTCTGCAAGTTAATACCTACGTCTTAGCAACACAACCACTCTGTTTTAGTAAGGGTGTTGGTACACACATGATATGTTCTACATGGGACATACACGGGTAAATCACCTTTGACCATGTACAACTGGCAGGGAGTAAGGTGCATTTCATTCACTCTAAATCAAAGCTTGTCCAAAAGTCTGAGAAGCAAACAAAATACAGATAAAGACAATTTAAAATTAAAGCCTCTTAGCAGTAGACTTTCACAGCTACTTATCCTATTCTGATTCTTGCTTCGGAGACTATTTCCTCTGCTGCCAAATCAAGTTGAAAGTATTTCTGGTTCTGTTTTGAGTTGCATTTCACACTCAAAATACCAGCTCAGCCATAAAAATTTCATCACTATTTTAAATTTGAAGTTGTATCACTCAAGTCAGACATAATAGATTAGGTGATCCTAATTGCTGATACAGTAAGCATAACTTTATAGATAAAATATAGTCAGAGGACCACTGGGAAAAAATCAGGCCACTAGGATCTGTGGCAGTTACGTTTATGATTCCAGTGTACATGGTCTGTAGGCTGTATAATGCATGCAACTAATGAATCTTTTCAATTCTGCATTTGTAACCCAGTTGCACCAAGTTTATTAGCTGTGTCTCCTCCATTTGCTGAAGCAACAGCTATGCCACAGTAACTCTAGCTTTGACAAACAGCTGAAATGGAGGCTGACAGACCACAACATCAAGTGCTGTCAAACTATGGTGAAGAACATGACTATCTTGAAGAACATGACTATTTTGCAGTAAATAGCTGTTAATCAAGTTCTCAGTGTACCGCGTGAGGAGTATCTCAAGCACTCGCCTTGGAGAAATAAACCAAATTCTCCTCTCCCACCAACAGGCATCCAATGAAGTCAAAGGTTTCACAGTGGAGTGGCCAAAAAGGGGAAGCTGAGCCCTACATTCAAATTTTCTGCTCTGAAGTTAAATACCACCAGAATTCTGTCAACTCAGAGGGGACAGCACCTGATGCTGTAAGATTAATGAAATCCCTCCTTCCAGATGCCAGGGAGTCTCTACAAATAACCAACCACACAAACTGCAAACAAGATGCTGCTAAAGTTACACTCAATGCATAAAGGATCATCATCATACTTACATAGTTTAAAAAAGTGGCCACGCGATTTCCAGTCCCTAACCGCTTGAAAGCATCTGGCTCATCTTTCTATAAAATTAAATGAGAATAACTGCAACCTTCAAGCTCACAGACAGCAGACAAACAGAGGTACTTACATAGTTAAGAAACGTCGCTAGCCTATTTCCTTCCGATTTGAGTGTGCTGTCAAAGGGTCGCTGTAACAGACAACAACTTTAACCCAAGTTCCAAACAGGCTCACACTAGTGTTACATGTGTAGCTCTAAAGAGAGATCCTTCAGCCCAATATAAAGAGTTGGAATAAAAAGGGAAGAACTGATACAGGGCAACATAAAAGCCATTACAAATTGCAGCCAGGGTGCATAAATGCATGCACATAGCACTCAGATGCTATCAGAAGTAGCACTGAAGCAATTCTTAGGACAGAATAGAAGCAGTGTTTTCAGGGCCTGCAGCACAGATGTCATCCAAGTAAAACTTAGTTAACAACAGGCCATTACTGTACTGGACACTGATCAAAGTCAACAACTGAGGTGAATATGAAAAATGTCATCTTCAGTGGGCTTCAGATAACACACTAGATTCTCATGAAGGCAGCTGTGACTCAAAAATACTGTCATGAGAAAATGCATTTTTTGCCAGCAAGCAAAATTGCAGAATAGCAATAATGAACTTCTTTCAGGTGGTTGCCTGTCTAGGACTAAGGACCACATCAAAAAGATCAAGCTGTCTTTACTGTGTAGGAAACGTTCTGAGTTTTGTTTCTTGAAGTAGGAGATCATGTTGATGCCAGTTTAGAAGCAGAAAGCACATCCACAATACCAGTGTGTGTCTCATACTCCAGAAAATGCAATTAAAGGTTTCTTTACATTGCTAATAATCAGGAGGTAATTTCAGTCAGGAGACATTAAGATGCACTCTTCTACACAAAACCAATAATCTTCAACAGTTAAAGAAAAGTAGAAATTGGTATTAGAAAAAAACAACAAGGAAAACCACAACTATCACTAAGACATTAGAGTTCAATCTACTTGAAGCATATCTCCAGAAATAAAAGGTCTTTCTTGAAACAGGTTCATAAAAAAATTAAGACTTTCATCTGCATGTGCAAATTCCACCTAAAAGAGCCAACATAAGAGCACTGAGATATAGGGGATTCCCTGGTTTCTGCAACCACTGCGAAAACCAGGTCCAGCCATGCATTTCTGAACTTCATTATCAGATTTCTCTAACTTCTGAGCAACCAATAAAATCTCAAAATTGTAATAGGCAACTATTGAAGCATCCCTATCTGAGAACCGCAAGGGAACAAAAAGCTGCAAGGCTGATGAGGAGATGGGGAGACACAGCAGTATTTCTGTATTTCAATAGTGAAATCTGTGATGCACAGAGAGCCTGGAGGACCAGTCCAGAACTATGGCAAATCCTGCCATTGCCTTGCCTTAACTGCTGACTGCAGCCAAGGTTACGTTCCAAGTGGAGCTCTGCCCCAGCTGCCTAATCCAAAAGCAAAGTCCATTCTGGCCAATTTGATGGCTGAGGTCCTCAAGTTCAAAGGTTTTGAAGATAATTTAAGAGCATTTGCTTGACTGAGGAACTGAAGCAGTCTTAAAGTTAATAGGAAAATTTTCTCAACAGGCCAAAGCCAACAACTATGAGCTTCCACTGTGCTGAAATTCAAGGCTTTTTTCCCATTTGAACAGTGCTGAGCAGGGTGGCTTCAATTCTGCACTTAATTATTGGGTTGCACTCTGGCTGCAGCAATCACTTCTACCAGCTAAAAGTCACTGGGACAGCCTGAATTAAGCCAGGTTCCCTTGAAATGCCATGGTTCTACTGGAAACCTAGGCAGACGGATTTTATATTTAAAACTACCAGTCACCATAGCTCTTCAGTATGACTAGCATGTTCATAAACTGGTTTAGGGTAGCAATTCAGAATCTGTTCCTCTTTTCTCCCCCATTCGCAGCAAACCAGAGCTGTAATCTGCCAGGTGGAGCCCTCTAGTGCCTACCGTGGATCCAGCACCCACCAGCTCCAAGTTCTGCTCACTGTAGCACTGCCCTCCTGAACACCAACCCAACAAGCCCTCTTCGGACCCTACAGCTGCAGCCCCCCAAGAGTTTTGCCAGAAGGGCTCTATGACACAGGAAGATTTCCATAACTGCTACTTCTCTGAAGGGAGGTGGAAGGATGGCTCCTCCTCAGCCAGCTCCTGCAAAGTGTTTTAAAATATGCACCAAAGGAAGACTCAGCCAGCCTTGCTCAGCACGGAGGCCTAGTGGAATGCAGACTCACAACCCAGGGCTTGTAGACCTCATTTTCCAAATAAAGTAATGGAAAGAGCGTATTTGAGTGCTGCATGACTATCTTTCAATGTCTCTATACTGTGCAAGGAACCAAGGTGAAAGATAAGCAGGCAGATTTGTTCTTAGTTCTCTCGAACTTTCAGCAAGAGAGAAGGCAGCACAAAGGCTTTTCAGAAGTCATACTCCATCCATGCAACAGGGCTACACACCAAATGTCTCAACAGAAAACAGTTTCAACAGTTTTCTCTCAGAACGAACTGTTCCCCCCCTCCCCTCCTCATTAAGATAATTGAAAGCATGATCTTACCCTAGAAAAGTCGAAGTGTGGCTCATACTGCCCTCCCATTCCATAGTTGGCAACCTACAACATGGAAGACAAAAGCATAAACACTCACTGAACCACAAGTGACAGCTGCAGAAGATAGCATTTGCTCTCAGAAATCCAAAACATGCTTTGAGAAACAACACTCTGTGGCAAGATTGTTATCCACACTTCATTTCTCTTTAGATTGTCAGAAATGAGGTACACTGGTGAGAAACAACTTAAGTGCTCTTTCCCTATCACAGTTTAAGGGTTTCGCTGAGAATATTTCTCAGTACCCAACGTCTCATTTACAGCACTCTACTTTTCCCTATAACAGCCTGTTTAACACGACTAGCAGCAATTGTTTTGCCACACTCTTGCTCGCTCCTCTTCAGAGCACGTGTATTTCTCTATGTGTGTCCAAACTAGGAGACAGAATTAGATTCCATGTCACACATGTATGATTTGTTACATACACATGCCCACCCAGGAACACAGAAGGCTCAAAGAAGCTTATAAGCACCACTTGGCTTACTTTCTCTGAAGATCACATAACTTACGATTTAGTTACTCTGAGGCTGCACTTTACATGTCTCCAGATCACTACACAATTTACTGGCTATCCACAGAAGCCAGGTATCAACACCACTTCAATCAGGCTCTAAAACAGGAATTCACTGAGCATGGAGGAAGAGAAGCAGTAAACAGGCTACAGTACAGCTGTTCTGGCAGTGCTGTACTATTACTACTCTCCTTTCTCTCCCCAGGAGACAGTCAAAGATCAGACTTCATATGAGAATACAGCACAACTATGAAAAACATTTGGGCCTTTGAAAGGTTCATCTAGGAAGGAGGTTCAACTTTTGCAGACTTGAAAATAAGTGGCAGGCCCTCAAAACAAACTGGTAAATCAGATTCCTGGACAAAGCTACCGTCCATTCCTTGGTATCTTCACCCTTCTGCCTGGCACACAAAGATAGAACATCTAGCTGCCAGGTCCTCACAGCTAGCGGCAGCTGGGAACACCCCACGCTCTTCATAAACACCCTACCTACTCTGTGTGTGCAGTCAGCAAACAGAACCCTTCAGAGGGGCTGGGTAAGAGCCAGCCTGTGTTCATATCCGTGTAAGAACCAGCCCATCCTCATCAGTAGCTAATTTTACCAGGATGAAATCTGACCAGACAAGTGTACCAACCTGCAGTAGTTCAGCTGTTTTCACTGTTAAACCTGTGATCTGTTGCATTCGCTGATTCACCTTGGCCACAACAGGATCATCATCTTCCTCCAACCATGAGCTGGGGTAAGTGAAGGATTAAACATGTTATTTTGGAATACCAACCACAACCACCCATTTCCCAAGGCAGAAGGATTCTTCTGCCCTCAGTCTGCTGGCTAACAGAGCCATTCACCATGCATTTGTTGTGCAAGCTTTCACTATGTGCAAAGCACTTGAAGTTTTCAGCTGTAGGTAGCTGATGACAGCTGTTAAGCACAAAACCCTTAAAGCTAAACTCTTCTCTTACCTTTTTGACACCCTGTAGCTAGCCACTGTAAGGACACCGGTTTTGGGATCGCGTACTGTGGCTCGTGCCAGCTGTGTCAAAGAAAATCCCAAGCGGGAAGAAACACATCAACTACAGGTTAGAAAAATATTTTCTCTCATCTTAACCAAACTCAACACCTGCTTTTGTCCAAATTCAGTATATCACTGGATGACAGTTACAGCCAACCTAGGGTTTGTTCTGATTCCGTGCTAGAACAGTACATGCAGAAAAACAATTGCAATCCATCACTTCCATCAGCTTCTGAAAAAAGAATTTGACTGACTGCACAAGCCATGATATTAAATCTGTGAGTGCTGCTTGCTGAACAGGTTTTGAAAATACTTTTTTAAACAGCTGGAGTCACTATTAGCAACAGGGAACACCAACAAAAGTTAACATGCAAAGCCCAAGCTCTTGGCAAAGAAAATCATTGGATACTCCATAAATTTAATCTGCCTGATCGTCATGTGGACTGAAAAAACCCAACCTCATTCTCAGATGAAAAACAGCAAGTGAAAACTTTTACAGAATGAGTTACAAGTTACAGGGCAGGCAACCCACAGTGGCAGAAAACTCCTAAGGGCAACTCTCAACATTAGCATGCTCAGATTTTCCAGCTGAAAGATGCCTGGAACATCTAATTCAGAGACAGTTTGAGATAATGTCACTACATTATGAAGGTAACTCTGCAAAAGCACTGTTCACCTACACATTTTAAACAGCGAGTAATGCATTATCACTGTTAGGCCACATCACAACATTTCTAGGAAAAATTTGGAACTTGGTAAAGCTGATCAATTTGCAGTGGTGTCAAAGCGACACACTACCGCCAGCATAACCCAACAGGTCACTTTGGTTTTATACTTGCAGCTGAGAACAAGAATGGGGATACTCCTTTCTCTGGCTGTAAACTTCGACCACATTTAAATTTAACTCTGCAAACCACTAAATCATGCCTCCTTCCTTCCACTTAATTATAGGTCACAGAAAACCTTTTTATTTGCATTTTCTTCAGAGCATGCAGTCATTATTTCCTTCATTTTTCCTCAAATAAGTCTCCAGCCAGCTTTACAATCCATGTCAGCTGTCTTGTCCCTATACAAGAGTTCTTGGCATAGCTGTTCCTGTAATTCTGAGTCACTGTTATTTTGTTCCAGATTTCTCCTGCATAAATCATAACAGAAAAGCCAGGCTGAATGTTGTTGTTCGCTTGTACAATGAAACATAGCTTTTGCAATACAATTCAGCTTCCCAAGCTTTTCATTCTGCTTCCATTTTCAAGCTTGTATATGCTTGCTTGATTTCTGCACCTAGCATTTGATCTAAAGAAATCACAACTAAAAGAAGCCCGACCACGTTCACATTATTCCGTATGCCCTCTTTCTGATAGGCACACTTCTTCATTTCAGACATACAAGCTATACCTCAGTTTGATAAACGTGAGGCTTCGCCTCTCAGGAAGGAGAAAGCAGCCTTATAATAGGCATTTGCTGGACTTTGAAGAATCATCATAGCACACTGGATTGGTCAGCAGCTTCACTCAGTCTTCCTCTCAGAGGCTGGACTTAGTTTAGCATACACTCTGTTGGCTTTTCCTTCTGAAATTCTGTGTTGCTGAAATCCTATAGCACTTGGTTCAAAGATGTTCACGTGTCCTCCTCCATGCCATATTTTTGCCTGTTCAAGCATGTCTGTATCGCAGGTAACATGCAGAATTTTGAGAATGAGGTTCTCCTACTTTCACGGCAGACCTGTCCCAGTGCTATCCACCCCAATAAAGTCAGGAATTTTCTTGACCCTGCCCAGTCAGCTGTGATGTACCGCCTGAAAAGTTGGAACTACATTTTGGAATTGGAGTAAAAGTGATTGCATTTTGCAAAACAAGCATAAAACCAACTTCAATACAGCTACTCTCAATCATGTACAGATGTTGTTTCTCTACAAAACAAAAAAAAAATTGGCAAGTGTAAACTGCAGATAATGTTAAAGTGCTTGGACCCAAAAAGCAAAGTTTCTTGCAAATGCGTTTTAGAACTAAAGTGCTCATCTTTGAGCCCAAAACTAACATACTACTTCAGAGTTCTGTCCTAAAGCTTCCATGATTACTAACTAAAATTTCCTAGCTGAAATTAAGCTGTATTTATTGAGGACCATCTCACAGGACTTGCGTTTTTCCATTCTTTCAACAACACTGCAGAATTTAAAGCTATTCCTGCAGCTGAGCTATAGACACATTAAGAAAAAACAAGTTATGAGAAAATGGTTGCTTTTTTTGTTGAAAACTTTCATCTGAATCTTAAGACTACAATATTTACCTACTCTTACAAGGACTGATTCTAGTTCTACACCATACAGATTATATGAAGAATTCCTCTGACATTAGTACCATAAGCAAAACTCCATGAGCAAGACTTCAGACTTTCCCTAAAACTTTGTATAAAAAGGGAAAACTAAACAAAAAATTAATAGCTGCCTTACTTAGAATGTGCTTAATTTGATAAAAATATATTAAGTGATATGGTCTAGTTGAATGTTTCCATTTTATCTGAAGCTCTTGAAGTTTATAGTATGATGTAATAGGAAAAATTCTCCATTTAGAGGCGAGAGCCTTCACCATGACAGGAGTGTTCTGCCAACACTTCCATGGCTGGCTGGTAGTCGCAGAAGTCCAGCTTCACAAACATCCCAAGTTATTAGTGTTCTTAGGACACATCAGTTTCTCAATCCATTTCGAACTATTTATGTTTACATTTGGAAATACAGAAGGGTAATTCTTGACTGGAGTTTTAGTACCACATTTCATAGCAGTAGCTAGAAGAGTGCTAAAATGAACCATTCATCTATAAAAATAGACATGTTTAGATTTACATGCTTGTCAGACCTGACAGAAAAGCAAGGTGTAGCACCTACTACTGACCTCGCACTGTCATTTTTTTTTTTGCCAGAAAGGAAGTAGACAGTAAATTCCACCTCCAGAAAAGTCAGCAGAAAATTACTAGCTTTGCATTATGCAGCTGCTTTTTTACAGTGTGCAGAGTCACTAGAATTCACACCATGGGTAACACACACTGCATCCAAGCTAGGGCTCCCACTCAAAGCTGCTGCCTTTGAGTTGGATCTACACCTAGCATACTGAAGCTGTCACATCTGTTTCTCTGCTGCCCAACAGACAGCTATCTGCTAGGCGGAAATGTCAGATCTAAAGTGCTTTGGGACAACGACTGCATTGTGCATTCATTCTTACATGTACTCCATCCTTCCCAAGTCCCAGACTGGGAATTACTTGAGAGCACAAATGATTTCTCCACTCTGTGTTAACTGTATCACATCGTTCCCCATGAGCTGTGCATGGCTTCAGGAGAACACCGTAGTTCCACTCCTGGACGCACCATGACACCTAAAGTGCCTGCCTCTGTGCGGGTCTAGACTATAGCTTAACAAACAGTGGCTTCCAGGTTACCCAAAGCAAAAAACCCAAATCTCTACATATTCTTCTAGCACAACTTCAAAACTCCATTGTTTCCTCCCACTTCTGTTAGTATTTGGGCTTATAAAATTTTTTTTTTGAAGTTTGGCTCCATTTCAACAGGCAGACTGAAGGTATATCAGACACCCACACCCATCACTAAACCAGTCAGTCACCTACCTGTTCAGGTCTAATCCCTAGTTTCCTGAACGGTTTCTAAGCCATTTACTGAGAACTTTGCATAATTACGTGCAACAATGCATAAATACCTTCAGGAGCCTGGGCTCTATGGTCCTACATCACCAAGTAGTTTCAAAATCACTCCCCTTAGGCTCACAGCTGCAGTGTATCATCTTTAGTATGAAACCAGATCTTTCTCATCCTTTGCCTAGTCCTTGCTAATACAGATTAAAGCACGGAATTAGCAGTCAGTGAGATGGCAGAGGGGAAGCTTACCCTTGGCTTAGCTAGCTGTTTAATTTTCTCAATTTCTTCATCAGACATGACATCATAGTATCGTACAATATGAGGGCTATCCCACTCATCTTCTTCCTTAAAGGGAGCTATGAGGAGATGAGGGTTTCTGTTTCCATCGTGGTATCTACAAAACAGTCTTTTCTGTCTTCGAGGTGTCTGAAACAAAATGCCAAACAAAACACTGTTTGCTCAACCACCTTTCATGAGCTTGAAACAGGCAAGGCAAAAGAAAATGAGCTTCATTCCACAAACACTATAAAAGCCATCAGCTGACTAGCAAATTTAAGAGGTAAGCACGAGTGATTCTGCAGTTTACTGCAACTAAAAAACAACCTATGCCACTCTGGACACCACTGAGCAACATCTGAAACACTAACCTTTAGGAGAATTAAATCATAATAGGTTCCAGATTAAGCAAACAACTACATAAACAGTAAGCTGTAGAAAAGTCTGGTTCTTTTAATTAAGACTATGCAGACAGAATAAATTGACTCCTTTCCCTGCACTGAGAATTAAAGATATGTTTCTTGAAAGGTACTGGAGACTGGTCGGTAAAAATAGTCACCATAGAAGGACATGTCTAAGATGCAAAAGGGAAGAATAATGTGATTCCCTAAGCACAGCAAAGCATAACCAGCTCTTAGTGGAAAAAGCCTCCTAGTGTATCTGTACAGCCAGCATTTGAAATGGCTGAGTAGACAGACTGAGGAGAATCAATTCTCAACAACCTTTAAGAGAGTTGAGAGTTGTTTTTTTGTCTAGGATTAACAGCTGAAGATAGAGAGACCAAGACATAAGGTATAAATCTCAGCCTGGACAGAACTACACTTAATTTCTTCTTAAAAAAATAGCTTCACAGAAAGAAAAACCTAACATATCCCGCCAAGCTTGATCACCCTTATGCAAAGGCAGCACAGGCAGGAAATTCTTGCCTTTCTCTTACCAGTTTTACCCCTTCACCTCTGCAAAGGGCCTCATAGATATCACGCTCTGGCAAGTAGTCGAGAGGCCTCTCATAGGCACCACTTTGCACCACTGGTTCTGTCGTTGTCATGGTCTTGTTTATTGACTTCTCTTTCTCCTTCTCCTCTCTCTCTTTCTCCAGCAACTTCTCAAAGTACCGCAGGTTACTGCCTGCTCTCTCGTGAGTACTGTCTTCATTAGGAGAAAAACCAGACAGAACAAGTGACTTGCACAATCTCAGGAACTGTTAATACAGACAAGTCTTTGCATTAAGACAGCAACAATTCTGCCCTTAAAGCATTATCAGGCAACCAAAGGCACTGGCTCCAGTATGCACTGAAAACCAGCACTGGGAAGTTTCTGTCTTCGCAGAGGGAAGGTAGGCACCTAGTCTGGAAGGACCTATCACAAAACTTGTATTCCAGGAAAAGAGTAGCAGTTTTTGTTCTTCATACCCCTCCTTTTCACTCAAATTTTCTGTCCAGTTCTATTTAACATACAGATCACAGAGGTCATCAGCAGTGATCAAGCTAGTCTACTTGTACTCCTCCACTTCACCATGCTTCTCGCCCGCGCTGCACAAGCATGCTTTAACCAAGCGCTGCTGTGGACTCCCAACCACAGGCTTCAGTCCCAAAGACTTCCTCTAAAGCTGGGAAGCTCAGAGCTATGCGTTACACTTAACTGCCCACCTACAGTATCCACCTCTAGATGTTTATAACAGGTTTATATAGGAGGTATCCTGGATCACTAGTGTCATTGGACCTGTCACTAGGGATTTATTAACAATGCTGGAATGAATATTGATTCATCAACAGATCTCTACCCAGTATAACTGAGAAGGAGCAATTCCCGGTTCACCACTGTTTCTGCACACTACCACCTAGAACCCCCCCCAACCTTATTCTGTTTATCTTCTTCAATTAACCCAGAAGGCCACTGAAGTAACCGCTCCTTAGAGCGCAGACTAATAGTGGACAGGTAAGGAAGCTGAGCCCAGCGCAGAGGAAGCTGGTGCTCCCAGAACAGACTGCTGAGTCTGTTCCACTGTTTGGTGCTGACAAGGATTTGCATTCTGCTATCAGTGCAAAACCTATTGCAGAGGTAGCTAGATTCAGTACATACTCATATGCTTGTAAATTTTAGTCTATGAATTCCAGCGTCTGCAGAAATCAGACAGACACATATTTTTCAACAGAAAGGCTTCGCCCACTCACAGGATACAGCTAACATCTAAATTAAGAAACACAGCTGATTAAAAAACCATACAAATCCGTAACACAGTAGATGTTAACTCTAATTGGAGAGGATAAATCTTTCCAATGCAGGAAGTAGGCAGAGTTGTATAAGAAGCAACGCTTCTTTGCTTACTCAAAGGAGAAACACCAGAGATAAAGAATTTATTTCTGAATATTCAGAGCAGACTGAGTTCTTAAAACCTCCTTTTGAGATCTCGGGCAAGGTATTCTTCTGACAAAGAGTACCTGCACTGACGAGTAAAGAGGAACACATGAAGTCAGGAGGACTTTACAGAAGATACAGCGCTCTGCTTAAGTCTGTGGCAGCCTTGCTCTCCACTTGAGACAGCCCAGGTTTAACCATTGCCAAACGCAACATCTCAGTACACTGAAGCAAAGCACACAGGCACTGCAGTCAGACACCCACTTGGTCTTTAGGTAATAACAGCATGGACTATAAGACAGCTTGTTAAAGGTACTTCATGTATAAGTAGACTGTTTTGGTTTTTTTCTAGGACCTGTGTTTATTATAAGTCACCTGGCAGGATATCCTTCCATTCAGCTCACCAACATGTATGGGCCATGACTGTTCCTGGCGCTGCTGCTGACAACACCCCCCAGCACTAGAACAGCAGGTCTTTTGTTCGTACCAAGGGATATGAGACGTCTGGTAAGCTCCATGGCTCGGTGTAAATCCCCAAACTGGAAGACAGCATAGCTGAGATAATCTAGGATCTCGACTTTGCTGACTGTTGTATCCTCCCCCTCATCGTGCTGTTTTAAGGCTTGTTCCATCCAGAGTACTGTGTGATAGTAGTCTCCATCATTGTAAGCAGTCTTCCCCATACCAAAGCAGTCACCTACTGTCAAAGAGGATCTATATTTTGTTCCTAAAAACAAAAAGATAACTTTAAGCAACCCACACAGAAGCATCTTTGCCTTTGAACAGATGGGGCACATTGAGCAATATCTGTAACTACACACTTCTATCATCCAAAAAGGTTTCTAAAAGGATATGCTCAGACAATATTTTAGGTTCTGTACCAAACTTCAGAATTAAAGATTACAGAATTAAAGATTCTGTGACTACATTCTACCATAATTCTGCAGCTTTAACTCCTTTGGAAACCAAGAGAACTTTAACACAGAAATTACAGTGTTAAGCTATTCTGTTTCCTGTTGTAGACAAAGGCAGAGCAGACTTACAACTTAGAAGATTTTACTGAACCTACACATTAACACTTGATAGATGATCAGAGAAGCCTGACCATATGCAGAGCTAGCTTGTTTGCTCTTTACTGAAGATGTATATTTGTGCATAAGCAAGCTGATTGTTATTTAGACAAACCGGGTATCCATTTGACTAACTGTGCACTGATTTCCGGTTGCTCCAGCACAGCAGATTCACAGATAAGACTTCAAATTAAGTTCATTGTTAATAACCTACATGTGGTAACTAAACCTGTTTTGTCAACTCATCAACCCACACTCAAATGAAGCCTATTCCGTTTATAAAGAGTATGTTGCTAGCAACCATAACCTGTTTCAGTAAGCCTCTCACAAGAAGCAGCAAACATTTATCAGGATTCCGCTGCCAAAATGCTGAAGCATCCCAATATATCTACATGCTTTCCAAAACATTACTCTGTGGCAAAAACTGTTAGTCCCCATTTCACAAAAAGAACAGGAGCAAAGTGATTCGACCAAAGCCTCATCGGAACAACACTGTTTGCAAACAAGAACAGAGCCAAGCTTTGCAAGGGCCATCAGAGCAATGAATTATGCAGCAGCTCCTTCCCTCGGTTTGCAAGTTATCAGGGACAGGAAGTACCCATAGTACTTGCTTACACAGTAACCAGCACAAGAAAGTATGTTGTCCTTTGTTGTCTTGGTATGGTATGATCTGAATCAGCATTTTGTTTTAAAGTAATACTTCTTTAAAAATGCTACTTGGACTGGTCACTGCAGACCATGGTGCCTTGGCTCAGGTGGAAACAACCTCAAGGTTGTTCTCAAAGTGCTGAGGTAGCTACGTCCTCAAGCACCTAAGCCACATGCACTCCCAGTACTGTGGTGCTTCCTCACTACTGAAAAAGGACTTTTGGAGAGAGTTGGAAGATGTTACCACTTCCTTCTTTCTAAAGGAGAAGAGACCTTTGTGCCCTCACCTGGTAAGTTTCCTCGAGAGAGAGTTTCCGGATCCAGTTTGTATGTGTCCTGCAGGCGCATCAGAGCCTTCGCAGCTCCAGTCTCATCTTCTTCAGTTGGAAAAAACTGACGCTGAATTGTAAGATTTGCAATAAAGCCTTTGCAGTAAAAGGGAAAGATGTTACTTTCAGAGTTTGAATAAATATCTGTACCAGGTTAACACACAGGGGGAAACATCTGCTTTGTTTTTGGAATTGTGATTGAAATAATCCAGGTTTAAAGACTCTTATTAGGCTTTTAAGTTATAAAAACATTGGTTTTTGTCCCATTTTAAGAAATACAGCTCACAAGCAAAAGACAAAGGGTAAATAACTAAACCCGTCTATTTTCTGGTGCTGCACAATTACTAAAGTACAATGTGAATCTAATGATCTTCATTCCCCTGTAATGACTCCTTCCAGCATGAAAACTTAACAGCTTTCCTCAGTTCTCTTGCAATATCCACAGAGACAACTGCAGATCACACTACTGGACAATGATTTCAAACTGCACTCAAACCTGGAAAGCCGTAAGAACTGTTCAAATCTCAGCTCAAAGGACAGAGACCCTGATCCGAGACTCCCTCAGCAGGGTCAGGGCCTTACTCAGTAAGGGGCTTTTAAACCTGGCAAGTAAAACTGGTGACATTTAGAAATAAAATTAAATGCACGACATAAATCTACACCAGGTTGGTTGGGCAGAAGTGCGGGCAACCAACTGAAGGACAACCACCCAGCCATTTCCAGTCATGCAGCAAGCTGAACTGGAAAAGGAAGCCTTTAGAAAAAGAATTAATGACAGAAGTTCTCCACAGAATTCGGTATTTTATTTCCATCTAGGATGATTATTCCAAAAGGCAATAAAAATCGTGGCTGGAAAAAACTTCCAAGTATCTAAACTTTAGTATATGCCGAGTAGCAAGGGAAAACACACAGTGTTCTGCCTGAAAAACATAGCTGCTTCTCCCTTACTTTCAAGGAGTCCAGTAAAAATAAACCTCCATTAAAAAAATAAGCTATGGAAGCAAACTCAGGCAGACACTTTGACAATGTGATGTAAAAGCAAATATTAGAATTGGAAACATTTGATGTAGAAGGATAGGTTTACAGACAGCAATTGTGTATTATCCTGTTATCAACACACTGACTACATCTGCCAACTGCTAATGCTGGGGCTGACGAAATTCTTCAATTCAGTACGGGTCTCATTTTCATTCTTAAACCTTATTACCAATCAACACAGAAAAACAATGATCACCAAAAGCAGCAGGAGACTGGGAAAGCAGATGAGCAAGTTTGTATATAAAGGAACATAAAGCTCAAGACTAGGCATAAAACAACAGTTGCCACAGCTGACCACTTTAGCATATCCAATTCTCCCCTTTGCCCCAAACAACACGAAATCTAACAGGCCTAAGACTGATACAGTTTCTTTGAGTCTTGACAGATATTTCAGCAGCAAGTTCCCCTCACCTGAGTAACCAGTAAACAAGCAGCCAGCCATTAGTTTAAGTTTCAAGCAAACTTGGCAATAATATTTAAACCACAGCTGAGCCTGCAGCTTTCCAGAATACAAGGAGGGTAAGCAACTGTTGTCAGGTTACCTCCTACTGACATCTCCTCTCCTGTAACTCCTTACCATTTGTTGTATCCTGAAGAACCAGGTTTTCCAATTCCAGCCAGTCAGTATTTAAACGCTTCACCAGCTTATATGCATTCACAGGATGTGCCAGATAGCCTTCTGGATCAGAGGTTGATTTGCTAGTCAGTATATCCATTTTTTCAGCCCAGCTGGAACAAGAAGTGTACGCCTCAGTCTGAGAACAATATATGAATGCATGTCTTCCTTCTCAAGTCATCCTAATTACACAGCTAGAATCAATTCATTGCTGCTTTTGTCATCATGACCAGCTTTCAAGCTTTCAACCTCATAGGGATAAAGTGAAGTATAACTGAATACTTTTTTAATTACAATAGTCTTTCTTTTAAAAGGAATTTGTTTCCCTGCTTGCCATTTTAAACCTTACTACAGCAGGCATGCACCTCACCTGCAGTGAGTCTTGGCCGTCAATTTTCAGCATACTGCACTTCAGAAACTAATTATATATATAGCACACAATCACTGACAGTGTCATTTAGCTATCTTGGTAAAAATACAAGCATAACTAAACCCCCCAAGAGCTTTTTTGCTTTATGGAAACTAAACCATAAGCTTTGATTTTCCGAGTGGAAACCCTCAGACAATACAGTGGCAGTGCTGTCCGTCACCTCGATCGCACTGCTGTTCAGCTCTGAAGCAGCAGTGGGAAGCTTCACCTGCGGTGTTACAGTACATTTGAACTGTCCACTATCTTGACAATGCTACAGTGAGAATTTCTTCTTTTGCCCTTTATATTATCCCTTAACTTCTACACCTGGCCAAGCTGTGTGTTCCTCTCTCAGTACTCAATAGGAAGAAAACACTCTGCTGAGATAAGCTAATAACTGAACATAAGAAATCCCCTTTGCGCCTGTAATCTCAAACTTAGTAAGCCATGAATGAACTATGGTTACAAACAACTTTTAACCATATCTTAAGACCAGTCTCACCAGCACTCCCTTTTTAATTTAGCCTCACTACTTCTAATGTTTATTTTGCAAAGCAGTAATACTGTCAAGTTCTAGTTTCTTTATGCACATCACAATGTGCTTTTGAATCATAAAAAAGCACTTGCATATGTCAGTCTATCAAAAAAGGCTTTTTTAAAGACGACCAGTTCATACATAGATTGAACTGACATTCTCTTTAACAATACTTGAAATATAGTTTTCCTCAAAAGGGCAGCTTTTCAAGAAATGAACATTTGTGTATACAAGCGACAAGGAATTAATATCATTTCACTACTCCATAGCCCCAGCCCCACCCTACACCCCTTAAGGGAGATCAAACTGCCACATAAAGCCCAGAGTTTAGAAATTCTTTGGAAAGCGTGGCTTCGTTTACAGGCACTCATCTCTTCTGAACCTGGACCTCATTTACACTATTCTAGTGTCACACCCTGTTAGATATTACTTTCAGCCAGATAAGTATTAACAGTCTTCCTAAGCGACACAGAAAATATCTGTTGTCAGCAAGAGCCTTTCAAGGGATCTGAGCAATCAGGATAACGTGGAGATGTGCTGTAGCCAGGTCAGTGACTGAAGAGAGCGAGGCAGAGGAGAGCTGCCCCTGAGAGCAAAGCCAACACAGGAAGGAAGATGGGGGTTCAGCGTGCACTCCGCTCAACACTGCAACTGGCACACTGCTGTTTCACCACATGACCACTGCTTACAACAGGTAGCAGAGAGCACTGGCACCCAGAGGCATTTAAGTCACATGGACAGAGCTCCTCTGATATCTCTAGTGTCTTCTCCACAGAAGCACTGTGACAGTACAAGGACGGGGAAGAGTGGGAAGAGCCCAGCAGACAACAGTTTCTAAACAAGCAGGAAAAATCTAAACAGTAGCTGAAGCAGGGCTCCCACTCCGCAAGTTTACGGGAATAAATTACAACCAAGTTAGTACCTATGGTCTCACTGTGATTACCAGCTGAGGAAATACTAACAAGATCTAGCAGCAAAGAGTGGTGACAGAAAGGTGTGGTATAACTGAACACAACAGATTAACCATTTTGTCACCCTTTGTTATGCAAACCTCTCCCCGTACCTTTTAATCTGAGCGAGCTTGTTCTCTTCTGCTCGGATATATTCCTTTAAAGACCGTACCAAGTCTTTCTCTGCATAAATCAGGTCTGTCATTTGACCTAAAAACAGAGTATGAGCAAATTGTAATCAGACCTAAAAAAAAGTAACAATTTCCAACAGCACAGAAGACAGACTTCAGATGCTCCAGGGCTATTTAAACCACCACAAAGAACAGACAAATTAAGGGCGTGTACTTCAATGCCTGTAAACCACAAAAGCTATTATACATACAGGTCTGGCATTCAAATACTTTAAAAATCTCAACTTTAAGGCTCATGTAGCTTTGCTTCGACCCTTCCACTACCTCTGAATTACTTTTAGTACTACAATTATATGCAAGACAATCAAAAGAAAGGTTTGATATTAATACAGCTATTGAGTCAAAGCAATCGAAGATCCAAATAAGTTGCCAAAGCATCTGTTCTACATATGGGTGCAGATTAGGTCACACTAATAAATTAGTCTAACCATTGGCATCACTTAAAATTACAGCTTTTCAAGATGGGTAACTGTGGAAACATAACCTAACATTAAGTACATAGGAATTTCAGACTAATGTTTACAGACTGACACACACACACTCTCTCTCCTGACTGGCATTAGTGGAAATTGCTAGCATATCAATCCTAATTGCTATGACAAACTTTGCTTTTCAGACCGAACAGAAAGACCGGATGAGATTTATAAATGCAGCCAGAACTTTAGTTTCAGCATTCCAAACTAATTATTAATGATGCATGATCAAGCAGACAGAAGTCAGCAGGCTGCGTTATTTTCAGAGTTAGGAAAGGTTCAGGAATAGGTAAGTGTAAAGAAAAGGGTGATCCTTCACAGTAACTCTGTACAAAAAGCTACTTAACTTAGGCAAAAAGGAGAACCAAATAATCTACACGTAGTTAAATACTGTTTAGCCAACTCCAGAGCACGGGAGCATGCGCTGGAGGTTGGTAGTGAAACACCACTCTGCCATGCTCTGGCCGAGCAGTTCCAAGGGTACTAAAACCACTGGGAGTTTTGAGTTTTGCCATTCAGAAATATAGCTCCACTGAGCTCAAAAGGTATTCTGGAGAGCAGCCAGCTGTAGTTAATCAACATCGATTATCCTTACGGGTGTAAATTGCCCATACTATTCCACAGGAAAACATCAGACCAAGTCACAGAAGAAAACTCAGTTTGTGCTTATTTTTATGCTCTGCGACAATCACACATGGTTGTATCACAGCTATTAGAACACAAGAACTAAATTGTCATAAAAATCAATCTATTCTCAGGCTTTATAACAATGTGAATTCTTCAGGATTTACTCAAGTCTTACCAAATACACACAAGGTAAGGGGGATATCAATTTTTCCTTCCCACACCTAATTCCAGATTTGAGAAGACAGAAGATTTCAGGCTTGTGAAAGAAAATATTTCACATATTTATCACTTAAATTCTTTTCATGAATCACAAATTCAGGACTAAGCTTTTTAGCATAAGGTTTGTGCTGTGCTCAATATGACAACAGGTGCACAATTCTTCATAAACCACAGGAACTGTCTTACTTTACTGACAGTCCCCAGAGACACTTGTATTGGGTTGGTCACCGTGTTCTAAGCTACTCAGCTGCAAACAAACTGCACTTATGCAAGGCTTGCAATGCAGAATAGCATCACTGATGCAGAAGAGTAGCTTTTCCTAATGAGGACAGTGTTTGATAGGGCCATATGAAGAAAGCCATATGCTTCAACTGTAAACTTTAACAGTTTTGGCAATCCCATTAACTACATCAGAACACCATGCATTGGTTCTTTCCATACCTATGGAGGTGAAGAACTCTGCTTCTGTGCGCCAGATCAAGAAAGTACAGGCAAAGAACACCAACTGCAGCCAGGGCTTCATCTTCCAGGTAGCTCAAACCTGTAACAAATAAAAAGGAAAAGAAAGAGAAAAATTATTAACTTATTTGTGGGGAAAAAAGCCCAAGGCATTAATCTTCATCTTCAATCATTTCACCCTCATGAAAATGATTTACATCTTTGGAAAACCGAATTCTAATCAGTAGAGCTTGAAAAAGGTCTTTGACCACAGGAGCTGTTACTTAACAGTCTCAAATGCTATCTGGTATATTCCTTGGGATTTACATGGAAGACACTGCAGTCCACAGAAGGCCCCCATGACACAAGTAATGGAAGAAATACATTTGTCCTCTGAGACAGTGAGAACAAGATCTTCTGCAAGGGCAGCTCAATGCCTTCCACATCATGCACAATTATAGCTGGAAAACAGGAGAGTATACAAAGCTGTATGATATTCCAATAATAATAAAAGTCTAAATTAAATGGTCAGACTTGTAGCATGCTGTGAAACTCAGTTATATAAAAACTGTCTAGAAATACAAATAGTGAGAAAGCCAAACAGAAATATAGCATTCTGCAGTATGGAAGTGGCAGCGATGGCTGGAAAAGTTGAAAGTGAAATTTCCAACTCTGCTTATTCAAGATGCATCATCCCAGCATACTGGCCTCTGGGCACAGCCTTTATGAATTCTGTATTTTGCAGGCTGTGCCAGCTTTGAAGCCCAGATGGAGGACAGGGAGGCTGAGAGCAGATTGTTACCCTTGTAAGAGCACAGCCCACCAATGGCACAGAAGGGAAAGCCAGCCTGAGCAGACAGGCAGACAAGGTAGTAGACAATGGAAGTAAGGGATGCAAGGTCCATACAGAAGAGCCTCCAGGGAGCTGTAATTCTCCTGGTAGATCCAATAGCCAAGACTGCCTCTTCCAGGGAATTTACGAGGAGCCTGCCCGCACTTGGACCAGCCCACAGCTCACTCCAGAGCTGCCTGTTCACTGAGCGGGAGCAGCCACTGCAGCCAGCCCTCAGATGAGCACTGCTGCTCAGCAAACACGGAGCTCACAACACCCCTGGACACAGTGCCAAAACAAAGATGGCAACTGGTCACCTGAATTCGAGACAATTATTCTTTTTTTCCTACCCATTGTAACTGGGTAAACTGGTGACTGGGAATGACCACTTGCAGCCTGCTCTTACTCCAAATACACTAAACAACATGCAGCTATTTGGGGCAAACTGGAATCACTTAAATCAGATGAGAAAGTGGGATGGAGAAGAGAAGGGAAGGGAAAATACATGCAACATCCTAAAACTTCAAGCAGTGCCGCAAGTGGGAAGGTATTAATATAAGATAGTTCTGGAACAACCCTAGCTCATTATTCCCTTGGGTTCCACGTATCTGCCTGCACAACACGAGACGGAAGCTGAAAGGTGGATATCGCCCTTTCCTTCCGGGTTTTTCAAGCCCACAGCACGATAGAAGCTCTCACCCTTAGCTGAGCTCACCCGTGCCACAGACAAACACCAAACACACCACAAACGCTACTACAATCACAAAGAACCTTAGAAATAGCTCTGTTCTCTGCTATGTATTATCACACAGCAAGATTATTGTTTTAAAATTATTATTCCAGTTGCTTTAAAAGACTACATGAGGAATCAGAAACATTTACCACAACAGTTTGCAAGCATGAGTAAGCAGGAAAATGTCTCACAGCATCATAGTAAGTCCTCTCCTTTCCCTCTTCTGTTTCTCACCCCCCTGCAAACCACATATTCCCAAACTGCTTGTTTAAGTTAGTTCAGAACTAGTACATGGGTAATCTGAGAACTGAGTAAAGCTGAATGAGTAGTACCATGCAGAGGTCTGCCAATACTGAAAGCCACAATAAGTGATGTAGCAGAAAGCACAGCAAGTCAAGAGCACTTGGGAAGTACATTAATTTGGATATATTAAGCCACAAGTGTCCATCTGCATAGTCTGTCGTTGTCTCACGGAGTGCTTTTTTGGATGCACTACACAAAGCCTGGCAAAACAATTACAAGGGAATTTGCCAGTTAAAACAACACAACTCTACGTTCTCCAGCCTGCACCTCCCGACCATGTTCTCTCATGGCTGAGGATATCTGCCAAGAACACCACTTACTACAGCTAGCAGCTTGTCTTTATAGCAGATCTTAAACAGCTTTGCCATCCTACTCAGATTTACTTGAACCAATAAACAGAAACCTCAGTAAACAGAGAAATCGGCTTTTGCTTGAACAAGCAGGACACCTGGCTGCAGGGTTTTCAAGTTGTTTGTACACATTCTTTTCACAGCTGTTACTGGGAAAAACAGCACAAATAACGAATTACAGGAGGCTGAACATGATGTTATAACCACATTCTTGGACAGCATGAGCATGTGTGCACTCACACACGTATGCATGCCCACCCCACCACAACTAAACCATCTGCTAACAAAGAGGGTAAGAGAGGCAGAAAGGGCATTAGCACCTCCTACCTCAATAACCGAGACAAATGTTTATAAAGCCAGCATGTTTTATTCAAACAGAGACTGGAAGAGCTTAGTTGCATAGACATGCCAGGTAAGAAGCCTGTGTAGGACAAATATTGCCTACATTCCTGGCTTTTTTTCAACAGCATCTTCAAATGATGAAGATATCATGATGGACAGGTGAATTTAGGATCTCCTTTTGTTTAAGCAAGAGCAGCAACATTCCTTTGCAACAGATTGAGAAGTGGGCTATGAGAACCAACAGCAGGCAGTTCCCGCTGCCTGAAGCTTGGGCTCAAAGACAGCTCAGGACAACAAGCGTAGTGCCCCGGCTCGCCATGGTGTATCAAGTGCCATCAGCCCAGGGATCCGAAGGCCACGTGTACCTCAGATGGGCACATACACCACTGCCTTACTCCAGAGACAGCTCTCACTGTAGCGAGCAGCTGTTCCAGCAACACCGATAGAACGAAACTTCTCTGAAAACAGCAATAGATATTTAAGGTTTTGCTCCTTCCCTTCCCTTAAATGTACCTATCCAGCAGAGCTAAAAAGCTAACCAAATGGATATTGTACAAACACTTCTTTATTGAAGATGGCTGTCAGACTTCAGAGAGCACTGGCAGAAGAAAAAAAAAGGTTCTTCTAGACAAAATAGACCAGGATGGAATGTTTCTCCACAAGTTAGACTGAATTCTTCATTAAATAAGCTTTCTAAAAATTCTTAATGAAGAAGATAGCAAACATGGGCCTGACCTATAAAAGAAAAGCTGCTTGCACATCTACCAGGGTTATCAGTTTCTCACCAGCTCTGAGTTTCATACCCAGCCGTGGGGTGTCAAGCCAGCTCCCACACGAGCCAAAGGGAGGATATTTTTCAGGTCAGAAGGGGAAACAAATACCTCTTACTCATCCAACCCTTCAGGACTCCCACTTCTGATCAAGCCAATAGGCTGCAGCTTCCTTTGTACGCCACATAACAAGAGCACGGTCCCCACAGAGCCCTCCTCTAGACAGGAGGCAGCACACCTACCCACGTATGCTGAAGCTAGAGGCCTTGAAAGCATGCACCTCTCTCCCAGCCTTCACCCCACAAAAGAGTCTCAGCAAGTACCACTCAGTTGGCACAACTGTGTATAAGGGGGCTTGATTTGCATTCTGCTGCTTTTTTCAAAACAATAGTGGTAGCACCCACAATAGTGCAACTCGCATGTTCAATTACCTGTTTCACAGCTGATCATTCACTCCTGATGTCAGTTTTCATTCCCAGATAAGGGTGTGCTCAGAAGAATAAAAGAAGTCAGAAGAAACCCTTCAATTGCCTGACAGACGAACTAAAAACAGGGACTGACAAAAGTAAGTCCTTCGTCCAGGCTCCCAATTTGTACAGACTTCGAATTAAACTAAGTGGAACCAACATAAGACCAGACCACGTAATTTAAAGCACAAGAGTCACATCCCTTATTGTTGCTTATTATGGCAAATCAGGCCAGAGCGTGGCTCTTGCTGTACTGTGAACTCTCATTTTGATTACAGGAGCTCCAGAAGAAAACACAGTATTCTTCCACGCCATCACTCAGAGGACAGCACTCCTTTTACTATCAGGCTTCTCCAGGAGAGATATGGAACTGGAGTGTGATTTAGCTGCCCCAGACTGCTACTGGCCAAGGTCACCTCTCTTTCCAAAGGCTAGCTGGGGGGAAAAAGTTTCACGGGGTTAATGTCAGCCCCTGTGAATGCATTTCTTTCTAAGTCTATATTTCAGTTTCCAGCCCACAAAACTCAGATGACGCAACCTCACAGCCACACCAAGGTAGTTCATATTCAAGATAGCAATGCACCTGGGTAACAGCTAAAACAGGTAGAACATACTGATCAAAAGCAAAAAGAGATGACAAAGTGTGCAGTGCTTCACTGATCCATATGGAATTACAGTTAAAAACCTGCATGCCATCACTGGCCAGCAGACTGCCAGCTCACTGCATCAGCATGTTACCAATACTGAGCACAGATCACAGCAGAAGTCACTGCTCTGTCAGTATCTTAGGTCATCAGGCATTCTCTGCAACGTGTTTCCTTCATGAGAAATTTCAGTTACTCCTGACAGATCTATTTCTCTATTTCTTCCAGGCTTTTGGTCTGTTATTTTTTTCCAGATCATATAGCAATGGTTTCTTCCAAGCAATTACGCTAGACCACTTGTTCTCTAGTTTGGTTCCATTCTTACAGACCTATACCCACACTTCGCTATAGGGGAATAAAGTTTGTGAGACAAAGTATCATAACTAGATACTGTCAAAAACTAATTAATATACCATATTTCTGAACAATCACAGTGCAATAACTTACAAGCTGATGACACAAATACAGGTTACAGCCTGTCTCCTCTTCTGTGCTTGCCTGTGCTGTTAAAGACACCTGGAAAATCACTGCTAGAACAGCTGCTTCCACATGTATCTAAATTTAAAGTATCATGGTGAAATCTAACAAGCAAATCACTACTTCAAAGCCACCTCAGGCCACAGATGGGTTCTTGGCCCATACACAGTCGAGGCCCACACGCCAGGCT